GCACCATGTGATTACGAAAGATGAACTCCAAACACTCGTTCACTCGATGAAAAGACGCAGTGAAGCTGTCTTAAAAATTAAGGGTTATCCTACTAGGTATTGATTGTGTAAGTATCACTTTAAAAAAATGCAAATCTGAGATAGATCTTACAATTAATTGCATAACTTTTTTTGTAATACAGATATTGTAATACTGTATTTATTATTAAATTTTACATTAAATTACCTTCAATTTGATATATAAACGTTTGTATTTAAGTGAAAACTAATGTATTCTACAAGCACACAAAGTTGAAAAACATGAAACTTTCAAAAAGTGTCCACACTTTTGGCCACCACTGTATATATGTTATATACACAAACACACACATATATATATGTGTGTGTGTATATATATACACATAGCATATATGTTAATGGGAATGAACGAAATGGGTGGTCGTTGACAATCATGTGGTCGCTTTGGTAAATGTCCGATAGCTCTAGTTAAGTGCCACTGCAGAGGATGCATTTAACCGGTACTTCGAACACTGATGTTTCTCCCAATCTATCCTCCGCAGATATTGAATAAATATAATAAAATCAACAAATATATTAATATAAAATATTTTGGACATTCACCAAAGCGATTGTTGACATTTCTGATCATTAACTGTAAAAGAGAGAGAAATGCATACCTATCTTCCGCTGTCCTGGCCAAATATTCACGTTCTATTAAGCCTTCAATTCTCTTTTTAATAACTACAGGACTTGGAATAAATCTAGACTTCAACTGTTCAGTAACCTATTTAACGTATCAAGTATATACATTAGTAATGTATGTGGCTATTTAATTTACATTCTAATTTGATTGGAAAATAATTTATTGGGAGAAAAATAAAATAAATACCATATCAAATTGACAGAAATGCAAACTTTACTTTTGATTAATAAATGCTATAAAATAATCAAAGATTTACCAAAATTGAAACTAAAAAAATACTATGTGTGTTAAACAAAAGCCTTCCTGTACAGTTTGCCAGCAAACACATAGCAATAAGAAGACAATAAGCAAGATTAATTGAGTGGAATCACAATGCATAGTAAAAAGAAAAATTTTAAGTTTACACAGTTAAGATCATCTTAAATCTAGTTAAGATCATACAGCAGTTTAAGATCTCCGTATGATTGTAGAAAGAAGAAATTGTCTGACACTTTTACCTTTCTGTACATAGAAGATAAATAAAAGCATAAAAGTAACATTTATAAAATTTATCTAGTAAATAGTTTTCTTATCAACGCATAAAAGAATACATATATTGCAAAGAAAAAAATACACATTTTCCGCACTTGGCAAATTCTCCTAGTATTAAAAAAAATTAAAAACCGTGAAATTTATGGCAATAACAGAGCTGTAATAATTTTGAAATCATAAAAATCATGAGAAAATCAATTACATTAACTACAAAAAAAGAAATTAATCGAAACACGGATTTCGGATGGTATTGAGCCCGTTGAAAAGTGATCAGTGAAATGTGAGATTTTAAAATTTCATTTCATATGTTAAAAACTAGTTCCTTCAAGCATATAAAAAAAGGGAGCAATTATATCACATTGATTAAATTATTCGTTTATTACAAATCGAAATTTCTATTTAAATTGCAACTCTTTAAAATATAAACTTTAAAAAAAAAAACAAGAAAAAAAGCTATTCTTTCTAACGAATAATCTTTTGAATATTTCCCATTTCATAATAAATTTTTATCTCATTAATTTTATGTTTGCTTTAGTAATTCCTTAATTATAGCCAAAGTTATTATGGAATTTTTTTTTCTCCAGCTCTTCAAGTTTATTCAAAGTTACATTTTTCTCTTACAATTTTACATAAAATAAAATTGTTATCCTAAGTGCATGAGAAGTTAGGAAGAAAAAAAAAAGAAGCTGCTGTCGGAGAAATTTTGTCGGAAGATAATTATCGATTTGTGGAATTCAGTAAATGAATGCTCTTGCGATTCGCTATAACGGAACAATCACATGCTTGCACAAAGTATCTAAAAAAAAAAAACGAAATATTTTTACACTCAAAGGACTAATACAGTCAAACCTTCAAGAGACCGAAATTTGGGTTCACTATATCCGTTCCGCAAACAATTTTAACTAATGTTTTCAAATTCCTCCTTTTTATTACAGATTATTTAAATAAATGACCAATAAAATGAAATACAAAAATTACTAAAAAACAATACACAGCAACACAAATGTGTTAATTTTTATTTCTCTTCGCCTTGCATATAAAAAGATAAAAATAGTAATCCTTAGCTGATGAGCAATCCATACATCAGATATGGAAACATTTCCCGATTATATTATTCCACTTTTTAAACCTCTCTACCCAGGCATTCGAGCGCATAAAAGTAGTCGCACTAAATAGCTCAGCAAATTCATCTGCTTTGACTTGAAGCATTTGTCCAGATACTGGAAGATTGCGGTTTTTTGAATGCCAAACCAATTCAATGATGCTATTCAATAATGAAGCAAACAAGAAAAAATGCTTATTGCTACATTATCTGTTATAGATGGGTTTAAAAATCTGTATTAGTATTTACTTTGAAGTAGAAATTTCAAAATTATTACTTAAAAAATGAAGAAAATAAATCAGTCGAAGACAGAAAAAAATTCATAATATTCAACTTCCACTCTTTTTTGGTTCTGTATATCCACAAAAAATAACACTATGCGTGTGTAGCAAGGCACAGGAGCGAACATTTCATTCACTATATCCAAGAATACACTATAAACAGTGTTCACTATAGCAGGGCTTGACTGTATTAACAATTAAAATTGGCCTTGAAATATTTTATATTGAGAAAAAGACCAACGTCTAAGAGAAAAATTTCAAAAATTAAAATTTTGATTAAGTAATCCTTCATGTCAAATTTTGTAACTGTAAATAGACCTCCTTATAACCTTTTTGTAGCATAGAAGTACGCAAGTTGCAAAAGTTAATAAAAATACCTATTATCATTAGAAATGAATATTTTAGACAACTACAATTCAAAATGGGTTAAACTTTTAAACAGAATATGGATACCAATCAAGGTCATCTTGACTATTAATATAGACATCAAATAACATATCTAGGTATGATTATCAATCACATTATTTCTAACGTTTTTAAATATCAAATTAATTTTAATTAATAAACAAATTAATATCATTTTACAGAGTTCCCACTCCTTTAACAAAACCAAAATTAAGGACTTTTTTTGAAATTATTAAGGATTTTTCTTAAAATTAAGAATCTTAAAAATAATATAATAATTGTTTATTCTCAAGTATTCATTTCTTCCAATTATTCATGCCAATTATTTATCTCTTTTTCCTTTTTTTTAAAAAAAAATAAGTAAAAAAGATAATAATTTCATTATAATGCAAGTACTGATGTATTTATTACCAGGCTTTGCCAAAGTGGGCCCAGACAAATTTAATCTGATTTAATTTAAATAATCTGGCAAAAAACATTAACTAATATTAAAGTAACCAAAAGTTGAATAGAAATTTACAAAATTAAAACAGAATATTAAGTTGCAATGATAACCAAAAAAAAATAATTAATAATAAAAATCTAAGTTAAAATTTTAAAACATTATAAATTTTAAATATACTACAATAAAAAAAAAATTGTGATCTTTTAATCGAGTTAGATTTAATTTTTTATATAATAAACTGTTTATCCTTAAGAAACAAAAATAATAATGTTACTATCTAAAACCTCCGAAAATATTGTTACATTGCAGCAAAGCAAGTTCATAAATAGTAACCAAATAGTTAACTCAGGGTTCCCACTCAATATCAGAAAAAAAAATTCCCTGACTTTTCCAGATAAATTAGGTACACTTCAAGGAAATCGAAACCATTTTTTTAAAACTATATTATGCAATTTTTCACCAGGAAACTTCGATTTTTTTTATTTGTAATATCAAAAATTAGATTTTGTGAGCAAAAACATTCAATAGAATGAAAATTGCAAGTTTCACTAAAAAGTGGAATTTTATAAAATAATTGTAATAGAAGTTAGAATTTATTTAACTGATTACTGTAACCAACAATTCTAAGATTGGCTATTTTCCAGGTGTGATATAGGAATTTTCCAGGTGTTTTGAAAAATTGCAAGATTTACTGACTATTCTTTGCTGCAGAGTTAAAATAAAATTCCCTGACAATTCCATATTTTCCCTGACCCATTCATGTTAGAAGCAAATCATGCACTCTAATTAGATATTCGAAAATAAAAATTCAAAGTATTTCTGAAAAAACCTGATAAACCCCAGTTTTTTTTAAAATAAAAAAAAACCTAGGGAAGGCTGGGATTTTTCAAGGGAAAAAAATTCAATTTTTTTCACACCTTGTTTATTACAGAGCTGTTTACATTTTAGTCCAATTGGGAATTTTAAAAATTGATACTGCTTTTATAAATTTATAGTTATTAATTACCTATTGAAATATTATTAGATTCAATTCTTCAAGTTGTTCAGAAATATTTTCTGCCATGAATAAATTTTTCGGTTACTTCGTTTCTTGGGCTCTACTTCGTTACTATATGCATGAGCGCGACTAGTAGAACTGAATTACCTCAGAATTAGTATTCTTCTTGTCAACGCCCTATTCTTTTCTTTTAAAATGATCCCCTTTCTTCATCGGGTACCATTCTAAGCAAAAGAAAGAATTTATAATAGAACCAATATATTAATGAAAGGACATGATTTTTCCTCCTTGCCTTGCACACATTTCTTCTTGTCTCTCTAAAATGCTATACCCTCGATGCATGGTCTCATTCTAGGTGATGAAAGAACAACTTCTTGTCTTTAATGTTTTTGTATAACTGTTTCCATCAATTATAGTGATACTGAAAATTAAGGACTTTTAAAAACCTTGTACTAAAATTAATTACTTTAAAGGACGATGGGAACTCTGGACTGTGGAAACTCTGTTTTATAAACCAATCCCGGTATTTTAAGATAAAAAAAAATAATGACCATACAAAAATTGCAGTTTTAAATCAACTACATTTATTTTGAAAAATGTATAGATGAAACAAGTTGTTTCATCATGAACGAGTGTACCATAACCACAATTCTTATTTAAGTTTTGGATAACAACTTTCTGCCTTGTAAAGGATTTGGAGTGACAATGGTTTATGTTGAAGAGAAGCGATGGTGCTTCTTTTGAGAAGATAAACAAAAGGAACAAAGATCACTATAAAAATTCTTGTTCCTTAATGCTTAAAAATGAATGGAAACAATGTTTACTTATTTGTACAACACATTCAAATGTATAAGAATAAAAACCTAATTAGTACATGAATAAATACTTACTTCAGTAATTAAAACATTGTGAGCCATTCGCTTCCTTGCTTTCATGATTCTTACTATAGCAGCTTCTATTGTAAGCTTCCATTAAGAAAAATTTTCATAAATGCATACTTTCCAATTTTTTATCTATTTTGCAATAAATTTTATTTTTATACTTAAAAGGGGAGTAAGATTAATGCTTTCTGTTTATTTCTAATTTATATATTTAAAATAATTTTGATCACTAGTGCATATAAATACATTAAACACACATATAAAAGTATTTGAGAATCATACAATGGTGCGTTTAAGCTCTTAAATTTAAAAATATGCTTTTTTTCACCCCATATGACAGCAATTTTACTACACACTTTGAAAAATTTTAAAAATAGCAGATATGTAATAGGATTAAAAAAAATAGATGAAAGGAAAATGAATATCACAGTATAACCTTCCATATTCAAACCATTTGTTTGTTAGTTCAAAGTTTTCGACCTACATGCATACTAGTTTTATTCTTCTATAATTTTAATAATATGCTGTCATAATTCAGTGATGTAAATGAGGCCCTTAAAATAAACAAACACTTTGTTAATTGAAGTCTGCTGTAGAAGTTTCATTACTAGTGTAGACCAACATGCTAAAAGAAAGCATGTTCAGGGTGCGTAGTTAAATCTTTCCACAAAAATAAGCACCCTTTAAGTACTTTTTAAGCACTCAATAAATATTTTAAAGCACTAAATACTAACAAAATGCAAAATAATTTTCATGATAAAATAACCAGTTTCTGATAAAGAACTCTTTTCTTGATAATATTAAATGCTATTATAAAAAGATCAAGAGGTTTTTCCATTCGATATCAGAGGGTGGAAAATGAAGCCTGATATGGAGAATATCTTACAAAATGCAGTAGAAGCACACACGGACTCGCAAGTATTTCATTAAACATGTAAAATAATCGGCTGTGTCATACCTTACGGACCAACGGTACGCCGAAATAGATTTTGGTTGGATGAAATGGGAAAATGTTGAATAGAACAATGTGAAAAGCATGCTTTTGCATAATACGTAGCGAAAACCAACATGGTAAAGAAAAGAAATCTCCTTTTCGAAAAGGGAAAATTAAGAACTTTTTAAAAACACCTTTAAAAAACGCTACGGACCATGATTTTAGAAAACACATTATCATTCAAAGAACCTTTGAGACATCTGAATTCATTAACAAATATCAATTTATTTGACACTATTTCAATAATTTTTCTTTCTTCCCAAAGAGAAAGCTTGTGAGGGCATCTGAATGATTTAGAGAGAGAACAGTGATGTCTAAAACTATTGCATTCAGGTGCAGAAGCATATTAACTGATGTAATTGTTTAAATCCTAGATATTATTATTTCTACTATTAAATGGTAGAAGAATTACACCACTTACTGAAACCTCAATCAGCCAAATTTTTCAACAAAAAATAAGCACCTTTTAGGCACTCAAAAAATATTTTTAAGCACTTTGAAAAATATCATATTTAGACAATGTTGGCAAATTATTGATACTTTTATTATTTTACTTTATTAGTTTTAAAATATATTTTTAATAAATTGCTGTATTAATTAATTTTAGTTAACGAAATTACTTTCTTTCTTGGTGTATGTTAAATTCCAACACATTTGAAATTACATTTTTAAAAATCTTTTGATTCTTGTGATTGAAAGTACAGATTAAAGTACACACTAAATGCTGTCTTATTATAGACTTGCATAGCTGTAGAAAATAATAACAGACAGGAATTTTGAAGGAAAAAAAAATTCAAATAATCTTAATTAAAATTCTACCTTTTCATTGAAACAGCATGGAATTAAAATCTACATTATATTTCATTGGTGGAAAATGTATATTTCTAAAGCTTGAGGTTATATTAAAAAGAAATTACCCTAATATGCCAAAAATAGAAAAAAAAAGGTTAATGAATTCAGATATTTTTTCCTGATATAGTGTCATTCTTCCTTTACAAAGTCTATTTGAGGCAGTAGAGTTATTAACTGATAACTGGTGTTTTTTTCTCATAATATGTTTACAGTATCTTTGACATTATCAGATTTTCTATTAAGAAATTTTGTGAAAAAAAAAATCCAATGAGTGCATAGTTTTTTTTTTTTTAATTTTTTTTAGCTGATCTATTTTGATATAGAATTAAAAATGAATATTTTAATATAAAAATATATAAACTAAATATTTTTTTTTTTTTTTTGATGAAGGACTACATTTATAAACACAATCTGTTACATTTATTTTGTCATATTAAAAATCAAGAGAAAAAAAACACAATTTTAAATTAAAATTATGGTTTGCTAATTGAAACTTTAATTTAATAGTTGGAGTCTGTCCAAGCCAAATTTGCTACAGCTTAGGGTACCTTCGCAAATTCAACTTTGGAAATCAACAAAGGAAAAACAATAGACAAAATACTTTTTTTTAAAATTTTATATTTGTGTTTCGTAAAAAACGAATAAATCCATATTTTTGTGCTGATTTTTTAATATTATTTTTAATTTTCAGAAATTTTGTCTAAATTTTCACAAAATAAATACCTCTCAGAAAAACCTAGACAGACCACTTTCATTAAATTCTCTTTTTCATCTAGTCTTCAAAGTTCAATTATGCATTTGTTTCAAAATGGTTGCTATGCATTCAAAGCTATGTATTGTAATGAAAAATTATATTAGTAAGCTGAAGCTTCTAAAATATTCTTATAATATTGTTTTAATTTTGATTAAGCATTTATAAAGCATTTTTAATCATAAATTAAAGCTCTTACAATGTGTTTGAATAAAAAAAATCTGATTCTTTTCTTTTCTTCAAAAATCAAAAAAATCACGAACCCTGCAAACATGTAATACAAATGGCGTTTTCATACACTACAGGCCGGCGGTACGCAGAAATAGATTCGGGTTGAATTAATTGTGAAAACATTGAATAGGACAATGTCTTTTTGCATAACATGGTAAAGAAAAATATAACATTTCAGAAAAGGGAAGATTAAGCACTTTTTAAAAACATTAATAGAAAAAAGCACCTTTAAGAGCTTTTAAAAAACTAAAATCGAATATAAGCACTTTTTAAAAAGGCTACACACCCTGGCTATTTGATTTATTTAAACATTTAAAAAAAATTAATTTTAATTAAAAATTCTAAATCAGTGCTTGACTTAAGGAGCAAACAAGTACCTTACAAGAATAGATTTTCTCTACTCTTAACATTATAACAAAAGGATATTCATGTTTTCTGTCTTCATCCACTTTGCTTCTGGTTTCTTTTCTTTCAGGTTCAGTTTCACCCTTAGCAGCAACTGAAAATGATATAACATAACTTTCAGAGAAAGAAACTAATTAACAAATTCAGAAAAAGACAAAATAAGTAAGTAACATTAAATAATAAATTAAAAATGGAAAAGCGCTTATAGCAACTAAAACCAAATTTGTTTTTATTTTAATTTAGTAAGTCAGAAAAACAATAGAAAAATACAAAAATTATAAAATACAACAAAAAAACACATATCTTAAATTTTTATTTTTCTGCTATTGTTTTTCTGACTTACTAAAAAGAAAAAACTTTCAGCAAATAGGAAGAGAAAGAAGGATTTATTTTTAAATAATTATAAACTTTGATATAAACAAAAAGGGGAGAAACTGATAATCTGTTAACTAAATTTAAGAAATACTTAAATATCTTTATTAAAGCTTTCCATAGATTTTTATGCTCTAGATAGATTCTAGTGCTCGACTTCGCGTGCAGGTCGTCGGGCTACCGAAGCGGGGGTGCCATCCCCTCCGTGGAGGGTCAAAATTCTGATGGCAGGTCTTTGGATCATCCTCAGGGATGTTTCCCAGACCGTCACCAATAGTCTATTGTACAGCTCCAGTGCGACGTAAATGAACAAAACAAAACATCCATAGATTTTTTTTTTATTTTAAAAAAAATTATAAAATTTTTCCTTTTTTATTTTATTTAGTCTGTCAAGACAATTACAGAACTTATATGGTAAAATAAGCAACCACATTAAGGGAATTTCACAGAGCATTTTGTGTTTTGCTTGATAATTAAGGTAACTGACGATCTTCAAAACAAAAATTTTTTGATCACACTATTTTTCAACACATTTCTGCAAATAATATTGTATAGTAATGTTAATAACCGTATTAAATAAAAAAAAATTTAAAAGCACAAGAAAATATTTATTTGAAGAAGTTTATTCAGATAATTTTAATAAAAATAACTCATTAACAAAAAACTATTATATATATATACAGCAATCGAATTTTCTGAAAACAGCTTCGCGTAACCCTCTGAAAAGTATCAAGTTTAAAAATTATGGTAGTATAAAAATTATGGTTTTCCAAATTTTCTTGATTTTTTTCAAATTACTTACAACAAAATTCATCATAAAGCAAAAAATAAAGTTATCTAAATTCTGTTACATAAATATTTGCTTTTAAGATGGCCCAATAATTTAATGAGTTTAGTGTAAGAAATTTAAGAGAAAATTGAGATTTTTAGGTCTCCCTTTAAGCTCATTTAACTATACATGAATAACAGGTATTATGGCATGGGGATTGGAGGGCAAATCTTCGAGTAAAAAGTGTAAATTCTAAGTGTATATTCGGCAAGAAAAAAAAATTCAACATTAGAAAGACCCTCTTTTGCCAGCAAATTAAAATGCCAAGAACAGTTTCAAAGAGTGTTAAGGAATTATAAATCTCACCACTTGGAAGCTTTTTGCCAGAAAATAAAAACGATAACAGATAAACGTTAAAGTTAATTAACAAAAATCTGCATAATATAAAACACTAATGAGTCCGTGTATGTACAGTGCAGAAAAGAAAAACGGACCAACTAGATTAACTTTTGATTTAATGATCAGATTTTCACTTTCTAGGACTCAATCTTAATGTCTCAAGTGGGTGATCTCTAATATGCTAATTAATTACAGACAATATTTAAAGTTACGAAATCACTTTTCACGTATTTTGCTATATCTAGAAAAATTTTCACGCAAATTGAACTTTTTTTTTGCACATTATTATAAAATTTGCTAATCCAATGATAATTACATGAAAAATAGCATTTAGTAAATATTTATTATTTCATTCAATAAAGGTCAAAAAATTTTTTTAATTGTAAGGTAAGCAATTTTTTTTTGCATCATTTTAAAGAATATAATTTTGCATGATAAAATACAAAATTTGAGCAAAATCGGTAGAATAGTTCCTGAGAAATTGAATTTCAAGAAAGTCAGATGCTTAAAATTCGATTTCTCAAGAACTATTCAACCAATTTTGCATTTTTCTATGTAAAAAATTATGTTCTTAAAAATGATTTAAAAAATTCTATAGCTTACAATTCAAAATTTTTATTAAAAAATAATAAATATTTACTAAAAGTTATTTTTTGCATAGAATTATCTTTTGATAAGCAAATTTTTTAAGTGTATGCAAAATTTTTTTAATTTGATTAAAATGTTTTTGAGATACAGCCAAACACTCAAAAAGTAAAATTACCATTAAGGGTTCCAAACTTTGGAGTGCTTTCCTGACCAAACCAGTGGGACCCTATTTTGAGGGTCAAAAATCTGAATCCATTGAAAAAAAGGTATGTTTATTCAGAGAAGTTTTTGTGTCTAATTTCATAACTTAGAATAACGTCTGCACTAATTAATTAGCATATTTGAAGTCACCCTTTGAGCCATTAAGATTGAGTCCNTATTCTCTATCTCATTTGGAGCACTCGGGTTTCGGTTTCAAGTGTGCGCGCATGCGCAAGTCATAACGTGGGTACGACATGAAGTCCGCGTGAATGATTACGTAGCCAATTCCCCATTTTTCGTGAAATGCATGGGATACACCAGATATCACTGAAGGGAAAAAAATTATTCGGAAAAAAAGGCACTTTTTAAAAATGCCAGCTGAAAAAAGCACCTTTAAAAGCTTTTAAAAACGAAATCCCCCAAAAAGCACCTTTAAGTACTTTTTACAAACGCTACGCACCCTGCAAGGTTGTTCAGGGGATATAGCCTTCCAATAAGGTGACCCAGGTTTAAATCCCAGCTTGTAACCACCAAAATATTGTTGTAAAATATCCTCAGTGGTAGCCGAAAGTAAGAAGCCATTGAAGGGAGGTTTATGTGGTCTCCACAACTTTCATCAAAAAGTTCTCCATGAAGGCTAATTGGTCAGCTTGAGCTGAGCTGACTTAGGGGACAGAGCATATGTTTTCCAATCAGGTGAACCGGTTTCGAATCCAGGCGATGGCTGGGCAATACAAATTATGTATCCGGCTCGCACCTACCACAGTGCTGATGCGAAATATCCTCCGTGGTAAACCGATCGTGAGTAAGAATGCCCTTGCCTTCAGGCTAACAGTGGGAGGTTCTTGTGGTCTTCCTCTCCACGTAACGCAAATGAGAGTTAGTTCCCTCGAAAAGTCCTCCACGAAGGCAAATTCCTCCTAATACTTGATCCAGGAGTTCCCATGTCTTCTGGATTCAGTTCAAAATTACAAGGTTATGGAGTTGAATATTAGTAGTCGCAAACCCAAAAATTGGGTCGGCTACGGTTATAAAAATTTTTTAATAAAAAGGAGTTCTCTGGGTTGGGTTCAAGCATTAGTTCAACAAATAAAATACATACTGGTTGAGTCTGAACTTTACTGGGAACACATCTAACTGGGCATAGTATCCAAACACAAGAATGAAAAAACTATGTATATGAAAAAGACTGCTCAAAAGAAAATTATGTATTCAAAGAATTACTGGAAAAGATGCTCAAAAGCAGTAGCAGCTGTGACTTAGGGGAGTGAAGTGAAAACAGCAGGCATTTCCCCAATATTTCTGGTTGCTAGATCCTTTTGAATGGGGCATTTGAAGATTAGACTTTTCATATGAACCCATCTATACATCATATTCCCTTGAAATAAAAGTTTTATAAGTCTTCTCCCATTTTTGTGTTTTAACTTCTTCCTACTCGTATTCCGATCATAAATTCTAAGATGAATGCTGATCGTGCAGTTAAGTTTTGCCATCTTGTTTAAACTTACCCTGCAGATATTTTAAAAACAAACTAAGTTATAAGTTGGACAGAAATGAAAGGTTAACAATTCATAAACAAATTGTTCTTTTTAATTTTCTGAATATAAGTTCACCTGTTCAGAAGCCATTTTCTTTAAAACTTTACCCAAAACTCAAAATGCATATATAACTGATGAAAAAAATAAATAAATAAAATTACACTAATTATGAGTAACTTTAACTTTTTGAACTAATCTGCCATTTACCTTTGATCAGCTATAAAAGTCCCACCCATTCTTTCCTTCCTATTTATGTTTTTCTACTCTCTTCTTTAATTTCAACTTTTTTCAGTAAATCAGTCAACAGTTAAAGTAAACCCGATGCAAATGTTTTGTTCGTTTGCCGTTTTATGAGAAAAATTAACAGCGAAAAGTGTGTTTTTATGTGTTTCAGTTGTAGTTTTTCAGAAGTTGTTACTTTTGAGACGAATGTGTTAAAATTCAAATTTCTATGCATTATAAATGCATTCCTCTTTCTTTTGCATGATAAATGTTTTTGTAGTTACGTAATTTATTAAATTAACATTTTTTATATATATTAGTTATCATACTTTTTTTTAAGTCATTATTATATGTTGACTCCTCCCCTATCAAAGAAAGGTCCCACGAGAAATGTTCATTCTACTGAATTAAATAATCTACGTAGAAAATGAAGTAAGTGGCAAATATTCACTGCAAAGCATAAAATTGTGTTACAATATTTATAAAACTCTTAATTTCTAAAATTAATAACTTAACACTAAACATACCATAACAAGTCAAATGATCGTTTAAGAACTTTCGCATCGAAACTGCACTTATCTCCCAAATGCACTTATCATTTTTGCTCATTTGATTTCATGACTTTTTCATACAATTACATACAGTTAATATTCTAATAATATTTTATTTATTTTTTGTATTTTGTTTGTTTCAAATAATTCTTGCCATAAACCTATTTCTACCACAACTGGTCAGTTGACCGGGAGGACAATTTATTGCTTTATAAGGTTATCAGATCAGAAATAACAATGTAATGCGTGTTCGACGTATTGCATTTGATGAGTTGCACATTTCTGCAAAGACTGTTGCGTTGTGAGTTGAATCAGAATAACTGTGAATTTAAATTTCAAGAAAGTACCTAAAATTTTAGATTGGCATTTTTGTGTAAGAAAAAGTGGCAAAAACTAAATGTTTTGGTAAGTAGCTTATATTTTATTTTGAGAGCTTTACTTCTAATTCACTGTTAGTTTTTACCCAGAAAATGTCGAAACAATCAAGACAGTAGAAGCTCTTAGAAGAAATAATAATAATTATAAGAATTATAGAAATAATAATAATTAGAAGAAATATGTTTGCGGAAAATGTAAACACCCTGTATAAGTAAAAAATGCGCAGAGCAATGCATTAAAAATTCATATTATTTATACATAAAAATTGGCAATAAACAATTTTGTTTAACTATAATAAAGTTTTTTTTTAGTTTATTTCCTTCCTAACATCCATAGTTCATACATTCAATCAAGGAACAAAGTTCAGTCATTTGACCCGCTATGGTAAAAATAGGTATATATTAAGTGCTGGAAAGTTTAGTGCTAATTACGAAAATTTTAAGACATTAATAAATAAATTTATGTACCTGCTTGAATTTTTACACGGTGTAACCTAGATGTAAATGAATCATTTACCATAAACTGATGAGCTGGTTCTGAAATGGAAGGAAAAAAAATCATATTTTAAAGCAATCTCCAAATCTATTTATAAACAGGAAAATATTACACTGATGGTAACTAAAAAATAGAAGTTAAAAAAAAAGGGTCATTACATACCTATTTCTTTAGTTTTAGGATTTTTTATTAAGATCCTTTGGTTGGTTTTACCCATTGCTAGTGATTGAAGTGCTCGAATTAAATCTTTTTCAGGTATATCTGTTTCAGATGAAATTTCCTACAGAAAAGAAAATGTTTCATTAAGTAAACAACAACATACTATGTTTCAGATTTTAAAATTTATGAATGAGGGAAGAAGATCACTATATATAACAGGAAAAGTATTGGCAAAGTATTAAACACAATTGTTTTATACTTTTAATTAGTATGTTTATTAACAACAGTTGAAAGTATTGTTTTAGTACAATTAGGTTTATAATTATTTTGTTACTAAAATTTTAAACCCTAATAATTAACATGTTTTATTAATAATATATGAATAAGCCAGATTAGTAATCTGGTAGGGACGTGTGGGCCCAGTATTCTCTAGAATAATTTTTTTTAAAAATTAAAAGCCATTATTAAGTATATTTTCACACTTGTTTTTCTTTGGTTATCATCTCAAAAACCTTTTTTCAAAAAAAATAAAAATAATAAAGTGTAGAAAACATTACGAGTTGTTTTATTCTCATTGACTTCTATACTTCATACCTAACTTCTAGAATATTTGGCATTATATACAATGCTGGCATTTCCTACGATTTTGATAACATAGACAATATTTTAAGTCATAAAATCAGACACAAAAATGTACTTTCTCTGAAGAAACAAACATTAAATAAAATTTTCTCACCATATAAAATTCACTAATATGATGAAAAACATTTAATAAGCTGGTGAAATAAACTTTTATAAATTTTTATTCGGGTTTTCTTGAGCATTTTTCCTTCAGGTAGGTACAGGGTTGGGGTTTTGGACGTCCTAAACTGGTTTTGAACAGGACACATGGGTTTTACTGTCTTAAACTGGGTAAAACTGTCCTAAACTGGGTAAAACTGTCCGAAACTGTCTTTAAGTGTCCAAAACCTTGAACTTTGGTAAAAGGTAAAAATTCTATAGGTGTAACCATTGTACACATAATAATTACATGTATCAATAAATATTTGATATTTTTTATACAATTTACTATAACTTATTAAAAGAAAATAATATAATATAATAGGAAAAGGTTTATAATTTTTGAAGCTCCACAATTCATTGAACAACAAAAGTGAATACCTAATCCTTTAAATATAAATATGCTTTTAATACTGATAAATAATATTTTTGCATAAGGATAAATATGGCAATATTAAAAAATAATAATTTTTCTTAAAAAAAATACTAAATTTGTTCAAAAATTAACCTTTTATTTTTCACAATATTTTTTTAAAAAAATGTTATAATTTCTGCATTACAGGATGATAAAAAAGACATCTATTTTAAAAAAATTGTTTTTAAATATAAATATATTAGTTTAAATTGAAAATACAAAATAACTGAAAAATGTATTAACAGTTTTGAAGGGCATAACATAAGTTTCAGTTACTGACGCTGGTGATGTATCACTACTATGCTAAAAGAATTGAACATGAATGAAATAAAAGTATTCTTGAATAGTACTATAGATAAATAAACCTGTTTATGACTAACCAAGTACTTAGTCCCTAATAGCTTAACCTGTATGGCAAGGTCCAACTTCAGTTATGTACTATTGAATGAGAGGACCAATTGAACTTGATTACTGATTAATCTTTTTCTGTTTAAATTGAAGAGTCAAACAATATTAATAAAACATTATGCTTTTAAAAACAAATATTCTCTAGTATATTTAATTATCAATATGTTATTAGTTCTATGTTTATTTTACCTTTTAAATATTGTTCAGATAAAATTGTGACATAATTTGATAAAAGGGTATTGGACAGTTTAAGACAGTTTTGGACAGGACGGTTTAAACCGTGGATCAATCCATTGTGTCCTAAACCTTGCCAACCCTGGGTAGGTATAAATTCTGCTATTTATAACCAATTACTTTTAATTAGGTGCAACTAAGCAGGTTGTTTATTTTTTCGGGTTTAATTTATCATCTGAAAAAAAGAGGACAATTTTAATTTCTGTAGCTGGTTTTCAAAAATATTACGGGTCAGAAAGTATTTCATACTCTAGTTAATAATAGTCTTGGAGGATGAATCCAAAAAAAGGTCACAAGCATCATCATAGTTGCCCAGACAGCCCAATGTGGGCCAATGCCTTCCTCTGAAGATTTTTTCATACTGACTTCGGATTTATCTTTGATCTTGAAACGATGAAACATCTTTACAGGTATGGACAGGGCGCTGACCCCTTAGACTTACTTATCTTACACTCATCGGACCCCAATATTGTTGCGGTTCCAACACATCATTATTGGATTAAGACCTAGTTGTCCCTTATGAGGCTGCTCTACATCCTTTGCACATCAGAAGACAAGCCAACCTGATCTTCAGTTTTGGCAAATACAAACAAAGACTAAAGAGCCCACTTAGTCACCACATCTAATTTCGGACTATGTTTTTTGAAAGACCGTAACAGAGTTCACTACACCGGTTAATAAGATGGTTCCTGACCACCTCAGACAAATGACCATAGAAGTTATAAATATGATTCTTCATTAAGCAGGCAGTGGAATCTACATTGAAACAGACTAGCTCAAAAGACCGTGTTTCCAGTGGTGTAGTTTTGGGGGACAAACCCCCCTCCAAAATTATAATATGCTACTTTTGTCCTGTGAGTAGGATGTAGAGGTAAAAAAAATTCATTATTCATTTTTGTTGCAATTTAAACATTTAGAATATATGTATTAGAAGGAGATAGGGCCGGTATAGCCTGGTTGGCAGGATTCACGTTCGTGAAATCGGGAGTTTGAATCCAGCCCCGGCCGATGATGACTGGGGCAGGTTAAATTTATCGGGTCACAATATCCTCCATGACAAATAATACCCCTGGGGGCACTGAACTGGAGTTTGATCATTCTCTGGTTCATTTTTAAATTAAAATCTGTGGGTGAATGAATGGATGTAAGAATGGGTCCGCCCTGTAAACGAGTTTAACTTATGGGTGTGACAGAAGTCGAATTCTGGGCCATAGATGGGGCCACATAAAACGAGAACAATGGCACTCCATCTGTCCTAATGCTCGACGACGACAAAAATAACAGAAGGTTGATATCAATAACCCCCCTCGAACAAACATTAAAACTATGGCACTGCTGGTAACGCTTCCTTGTGACTGGAGGTTCACTTGGCAAGACTGGTTCAGGAGATTAGTAACAACATATAGCAAAATTTACCTCATATGTGAGGCGATCCCTTGAGTTAAAAAGCATGAGCACACACATCTGATAAGTGGACACTTGAATGATGTGTTTCCGGGGGTTTCGATCAGTTGGGGCCTGCTCAGTTTCTTCCTTCCTGGGACCATAAAAAACAGCATTTAAATCCACCGATCCCAACTGAGGCTGAAGAGTGAGCTGACGTCCAGAATGTTTTGCCAAATAAAACCTTTAAAAGAACAATACAAAATTAGATTATCCCTTGCATTTTATATAATCAAAAGAAACGAGTGTTCTTAATTTAATTACACAAATAGTTTTTCTAATTACACAATATCAATCAACACAATAAATCCCCGATTTTTCAAATTTAAATGCCCTCCCCTAGTTTAGTTTCATTTACTTTAACAGGGGTAATTGTGAGCCCAACTCAAAAATCCTGAAAATTTCTTGAGTAAAATCATTAATGATTCATTTCAAAAAATTAATGTCTTTATAAATTTAAGTCACTGATATTTTCAAAACATGATACTCTAAATAAATTATATGCAGCACAATTCAAATAGATAATTATTCCTTATGTCTAATCACATTTATTACTCTACCAGAAAAATATTCACAAATGAAAAATATGCCATGCATAAATTCTAGTTTTAATATTTCTGAATAAAATATACAAGAATTTTTATATATAAATGTGATCAATGATTTCTTGAAACTTCTGGACCTTGGAACTTTCCAGAACTAGAAACTTTCGGATCGTGATTAGCAAGAAATCTGGATTTTATCCGGAGAACAATCATCTCAGCTTTAAAATCAGCCAAATAAATTATTGGGTATCCATGCTAACTTCAAGAAGAAGTCAGCATGGTCAGTAGTCATTTTTGGGACTTTCTGTCAGTTGATTAACATGCAGTTTAAAAAACATCATTAAGCTTTTCCCACACATTTTTAATATAAAACATAATTAATTATAATTAAATAAAAAAAAATTACTGTTATTTATTATTAATATTTCCAAAGCAATAAAAAGTTATAAATAAGTATACAATGATGTATATATTAATGAACCAATTATCTATATTCTGATGCTTCAGACAACAGGTTTTTCCAGTGATAAATCAATTAAAAGGCTGATTTTTTATGCTAGTTTGACGAAAGGAAGAGTTTATACACCTGAAATGATTCATAATTCCAAGTATGATTTATTACTTGTGAACAATCTCCATATTATACTTTACAAGAGCAATCATAGTAAAGAAATGAATTGGTGGATACTACTGATAATGTATACTGATAATGTACTGGTAATGTAATACTACTCTGTTTAACCGCTTCCTTGATTATCTCGAGTTAACCGGGGTATGTATACATTGCAAATATTTATTATCTCAAGATAACTCATGCGTTCCAGAATCTGCCAGTGTGTTTAATTTTATCAAGTTTTTACTCGGCCGGAAGCAAAAAAAATAATAATCTGCTGTGATTGAAGTTTGCCAAGTTTTGCTGTTGGATTGTAGAACTGCACACATGTTTTGTGCTATTGTATATACCATGGTAGCTGAATTGACATAGATAAAAAGGGTAATCACATTAGGTTTCATTTTAGTTCCTTGTATTTATTAATAAAATAAAAAATATGTTGATTTTTTCCCCTCCAAAACAATAGGTAAGGGTATCGGTTAAAAACTAAGAAAAATGATGTAATATTTCAGCTCCTAAAAATTATTTATTAATAAGATTTTATCCTTCTTTTGACTTTCAGGGATCAAAATGTCATTTGACTGTAACATACAATTGGCAGAATAATAATAATAGAGGGGGGGAAAAAGATTCTAAGTCAAAATTGCCATCTGAAATCATCAAGAGTGGTGAATGTTAAATACAGGGTATCTGCTACATTTTAGATTTTCAAATTCATGACTTTCAATGACTAATTCCAAGAATTTTTCATGACTTTACGAAGTTACTATTTTCTCTGACAGAAACACAATAGTAAATTTAAAAAGGCTTCATAATAACATTAATTGAAATTATAGGTGTAACCAAAACTGTTATACTCTGCATCTTCATATTTATAGATATTTAATTTAAAAAACAGCGTAAATAAAGATCTGAAGCAATAAAATAGCTGAAAAAATACAAAAGTAATGACGTTTTTTTCTTCTTTTTTTTCATTTTTTGAAAGAACACAATTTTTAAAGAACATGATAAAAACATTTAATATTTAAATAAAATATGACTGTGAGTGGGGAGTTTGTTACTATTTCAGATATTCGAAACACCAAGAAATTGGGGGAGGGGTAAATTCCAGTTTAATAATTAGATTTTTCGGCGACCTAAATTCATAACTTTCCATAACTTTTCTTTAAAAAATAGTTAAAATCATAACATTTCATGACAAATTCTGCTCAATACCGAAATTCATGACTTTTCAGGTGCGCGGATACCCTGTAAATAATTTTTCCAGTTTAGTTGCTTAATTTGAATAGAGATCAATCTTAAAACAAGTATCAGAAAGAAAAACAATGAATATAAATTAAAATTGGCAAGTACAATAAATAAATAAATAGAGTAGTTAGTTAACAGAACATGCAATTTTAAGCAATCTTTCACTTCACCCACTTTATAATTATTTCAGTCCTGTTGCATTGTTTCTGTGTAAATGCTTAAGCATTCTAGAATATATTTGAAACCTTTTATGATTTTAATGTTACTAAATATATGACTGTGATTGATTGAATAAAAAAAATGGAGCTTCTTAATTAAAATTGCCATCTGAAAGCGTGGTTTATGTTAAATAGTGCATCCATAGTTGCCACTGTGTTCCATCTAATAACATAATGTAAGAAATTTCTTAAATAATTTTTATAAAAATTCAATAAATTTCTTTGTTTTGCTTTTATTAAAAAAAACTATAAATTAAAATCTTGAAATGTTCTGAATTCTTTAACATTTCTATCTTTTTAACAAAAAAGTTTTTTTTTTTTAAATGTTTAAAAGAAATATAGTTTCAAAGAGAAAAAAATTATTATAAAATAAATTTTTTCATTAAGAATCTGATATGTAATTAAATTTTATGAAAGAAAAAATTTCAAATGTGTTTTAATTTAACAATGTCCACATTAAATGTTTTTTTAAAGGCAAATTCAATTTGTTATAACATGATAACACTAAGAAATGTCTTATTTATTATCAATTGACTTAAAAACTATTTTAAGTGCATTCAGCAGAAGTTCTTATGAAAGTGTGTACCTTTAGTTATTTTCAATTCATGTCTCTACATAATTGCAAATCAATAAATAATTAAAAATCAAGAAAGAAAAGAATAAAACCTTCTAAAAGCATCAAAAGCATTTCTAGGAGCCATTGGCACATTGCACTTAGGTGTGGCAGATTGAGTTGGCCAAAATCCAGTGGTTAGAACTCTTACGTTTAGATCAACGTTATAAAGGTTGGTCTGAAATTATAAGTTAATATTAATTAGATAATCATCAGAACTTGTAATTAATTATATCATTTTTTTAAACTGACTTTTTCCCTTTTTCTAAATAGAATCATTACAAAAAATAAACAAAATAAAAAAGGAGTTCTAAATCTTTATAAAGATATTCTTGAAAATATAATTTACACATTTAAATGCAAGTCTTTATAGTTATGTAATTGATAATTGTCTCATTTGTAGCAAAATGGACAAAATTTATTCACTACTTCAATTCACGTTTCATTTAATAATTATAGAAAGTCTTATCGACAATGCCAACATTTATCTATGGAAAGGTACTCCGACATAGAATCGAGTTATCCATACTAGTGATTTGGAATTATATTTTTGTAGTGGTAGATACACTACAATACTCTCCCACCAAAATTATATCTGTGATAGATTTATATGCTACTATCACGTCATTAGTGACTTTCGGACATGATGTGAACACTACCTTAGCAGAAATGCTACATGCCTACATTGATGGATGGTCCTCATTGAACAGTTGACTTGCTACTTGTGACTGCGACATTATCCTCCTCACGCTGCTGCTACTCAGTCTTGATCACACACAACGTGCAACCTATACACTCAACTGCTAAAGGCAACACAAGAGCGACCACTGCAGTGAACTTAATACAGCTCTCCCAGCTTTTCCCAAAACAGCAATGAATCAACTAGTGGTATCCATTCATCGAATTCTATCACAGATATAATTCTGGTGGGAAAGCACTGTTGTGTATTTACCACTACAAAAATATGATGCCAATTTACAAGTATATAAGACATGCTAACTCGATTCTATGTTGGCGTACCTTTTCCTAGATGAAGGTTGACATTGTCGAAAACAACTCTCACCACAATGGTAATTATTGTGATATCTAAAATAAGTACTTTGGTGGCCTGAAACGGAATAAAACTATTTAACTTATGATACTTTTAAATGACTGAACACTTTACACATATGTAAGAGACACCTGTCATTTATACACTATTTTAGCCCTTATTTATTCATTGTTTCACTTTTAATTATTATCAGTCAATATCAACAGAAATAGTAATAAAAAAAAATAAGTAAATGAAGTAATAAAAATTGGAAAATAAAGTAATAAAAGAATGCAATAATTTTGCATTCTTTTATTACTTTAGAAAGATTTTTATTTTCCTTCGAATCACTATAAAAACATGACAAATTATCTTAATTATTGTTTTCTACTTTAAATCAATGGCTTTAATCAATAATTCAATATTTAAATCAATGAAAATAAAGTGATTAAAATTGACATTTGAATTTATAACCTTAATAAAAATTATAATAATATATATATAATATATATAATAATAATATATTATTAATAATTGTTTCCACCCTTTTCTAAACTATTATCATGTCAAAATAAATAAAAATTAAAACACAGACTTACACCAGATGTTGAAATATGTGTCTTAAATTCCTCCATCATAGTATTAGAAACAGACATGTCCTTAAACATTCCCTCTAATTTAGAAGTAAACTGGCATCCACATTCAGTCTGAAATATTATTCCATAAACTATTTTTATTTAATTCATTAAAATTTATTATACATATATATATATACAGAGAGAGAGAGAGAGAGAGAGAGAGAGCATAATAAATAAATATAAAAAGAAATTGCGCTTCTGTTTTCATATTTTGTAATCTGGCATTTTGTTCCGAAAATATTTTAAATCATTCTTGAAAAATTCCCGTTCATGTTAGTTTATTTGAATTCCCTACTCGCTTTATAGTTTTTGTTTTATGTTTTATTCTGCTTTTTCTTTCCTTTTTATTTTATGTTTTTAAGTGATATTTTTACATATTACATATACTATACACATTTTTACATATACTATTTTATTAGTTGTAAATTTTTTGAAATTTATTTTACTGTTCCTCACACTATTGTATAGATACATTTTGCTTTGGTTATATTGATACAATATCAGAAAGCACTCCTTTGTGCGAATATAATCGTGTGAGCTGATGAAACGATTATATATTTCATTTTCCAGATTTTTATTAATTTTTTCCCATTTTTTCCAGATATCCCCCCTGGATTTTTGTTATTTATTATTATTTTTCCATTTTTTTATGGTTCGGTAATTTTTTCCACATTTTCTACATTTTGACTTGTGAAACTTTGATTAAGCGGATATTCTTGGGACCGGTAAAAAACTGTCCGTTTACGGGAAGGGTATCCCAATAACGAAGTTCAACACCGTAAATTGTTTTCAGAACGTTTTTAAAGATGAATAATTAAATAATCTACAACAACTATCTACAAGGATATTTATTTAAATTATAAAAAATAATGTATGAAAAAGTTTGATATAAATACATCATTCTGTAAATGCAGCTACAGAAAATTTAAAATAATTTTCCTATTAACACAGACATTCCAAGTCAATCCTACGATACCGGATAGGAGCTTTTAATCCTCAGTTGGTTTCAATTATTAGGCTTACACCTTGTAACACCTACCCATCTCTCGATAGGAGACATGGTTAATACCTCGTTGAAAGTAAACCTCCCACAATTCACAGAAAAAAAGCAATGCATACCTGTAAAGGTATGAGGACCTATGGAGTTGTTTATTCACAATCTTTCATCAAACGTCGGAATAAATGTTTCATTTATATGAACAACTCAAAGATTGTATTTCTGTTCTCTTTTTTTAACTCAGCTGCGTTAAATATAGTCTTCAAATTGATAAGAAAATGAAAGAAATGGGAAAGTGGAGAAAAAGCATTGAAGACTTCATTTTAACTTGAGAGGCCTCATAACCTATGTTGTCCAGATGAAAACATGCCACTGTCCGAATTATTTCACAAGAGCAGTATCATTTTCTCTCAAGGTGATTCAAGGTGACTGGAGAAAGATTGATTCTTTAGTAGTGAAATAGCTCAACAATATTTTTAATTATGGATAAGGCAAAAAATTTACATACTTCAAAAATGGTGAAAAGTTGAATTTTTTCCTTGCAATTTAAAGCAGAAATAGTTTTATTTTTTCAAATTTAGAAAAAGTAGTGTCTGGTTTGAAGAGATAGAAAATAACATTTGAGGGCAAAAATGACTGTCTGCATCTGGTTATTGAGTGCCTGCTTTGTGAAGAATGTAAATAATGGTTCATTCTTAAAAGGTTCATGGGGAATACATATATCCATATTGAGAGGTGTCCATTTTGCAGGAGATTTCACTGTATATATTGGAAAAATATTTACTAACTTTTAGACACATCTTTTTGTAATAAATCTCTTAAGACAGCTAAGGTGATTTCTCATACCATTTATTTAACCCATTTTAAAAAAGGAGCTTCATGTCATGAATGTAATAAATATAAATAACATTCCTCAGCTATTAATAATATATTTCGTACAATATCTTTCTTAAAATAGTTACACCAAAAAACCCTGTGTCGAAAAATTTTACTATATTGGTATTAATATTGATGTCTTCAGCAGCACATTGCATAAAATATTTAAGATTAAATATAAAATACACATTTTTTTATAAATATTAACGTACACTAAAAAGAAAATGATTCCCGAAAGGAAAAAAAACAACCTTTTATTACATAAATACATTCTAAATTATATGGCAATAAAAGATAGTTTGGAAGTTGTTAAGTTGCTCTAAAAAAAACTCTAAATATAAATAATGGAAAAATATCTATTAATTATTATCTAATCTATCATTTCGTTATATAAGAAAACAAGGTATAAATTGCTTGAAGTGTAGATTGCTAGGACTCTTTCCCCATTTAATCATACAAAAATATATGCTTTCATTATAGGTTTTTTTTTTAATTCCTTCCCTTTTACAATTCTGCTCAGAAGTTAAACCAATGTCATAATTTGGATTTTACAAAGTTGCAAAACCTAAAACATTTACAAAAGAAAGAAGGAAAAAAAAACACTCGTAAATTACAACAAAATAAAATATTTTAATTTCAATAGCATTGTTACTAATAACAAATTTATTGCACAATGTCAAGATTTCAATCAGTTCATGGAGCTGAAATTTTTTTTTTTTAATTTAAAATTTCATCAACAAATGAGAGCTTTCAAATGAAATAAAAGAAAAAGTGAAAATTATTGCTTTCTGTCCAAAATCATGATATCTACTTTGATGTGATTATTTATTAGCATAAAAATATATTATAATGCATTTATATATCAGTCTTTAGCTTTTCGGAGATATCTCTACCTGCAAACTAAACTGAAAGTGTTTTGAGTGAAATAGTTTCAGATAGATTTCTAAATCACAAAAAATAATTGGTGCAGTTAGTATCTTCTTTGGAAGAGAAAACATTCATAGAAAATGCAATGATGAAGGAGATAAGCTGTAGAAGTTGATGTTGTACAGATACAGCCATAAATAAAACTTACCTTTAGTTTTGATATCATGTTTTTCTCAGAATCATCAGACACGCTTTTATTTAAAAGTAGTCTCTTAGCTAAATGCTGCTTATAGTACCTTTCAAATACATCTTTTTCCTGAAGATACCTAAACAAAACCATTGTTTTGTCTAGCACTTGCTCTATTTCTTGTTCAGTCATCTAGAATCACAAAAAATATTGTATTTTTTAACAGAGGTTGTATTGACAAATAATGACAAGAAAATGTTGTTACTGAATTTCTTTACCTTTCTTTTTTTTCATTAATATAATTTCGTACCTAACAAAGTACATATTTTTCAATTAAACGTAACAAATAACAATTTAATTAAATGTAATATATCAATCAAAAATAAAATTGCTAATATTAATTTAAAATGAAGTGGCTGTTAAAGGTGAATTGGCAAAACATTTATCTAAATATCTCTATTGCAAGGACAATCCTTTTGAATAAGAAGTAATACAGACATTTGGAAGTCACACTTTTGTACATTGAGAAAATATAACTTAAAAATATATAAGAACGCAAAAGGATTTTCTTTTTAGTCACTGATTGCATTCTTCTTTCTTATTTACTATACTAATCATCAGATGGTACCACGGGAATTATGACAGTCCCTAATATTTCCTTTCGGGGAAGTAAGTTGAAAGGGTCGATTCAAGATACAGAAACAACAGAACAGAATTTGAGACTTAAAAGAGTGCAGAAAGAATTATTTGCATATGCAAAGTTGTACACAGTTTTACTTTGTGGGAGGTTTCTGTTCTGTTTGCTAATCTTTTGATAAGATCTTCTGCCAAAATGTGTACATTAAGGCAATTAATAAACTACTAGGAGGCTTTGCCCCCTGCTCGCTGGCGCTCACCAACCCACGGAACTGCTTTTGCAGTTCATTTCGGATTGCTTCGCAATCCAATGCTCGCTTTGCTCGCTCATTGGATACGTTCTTAACGTCTAGTTTTTGTAAACTTTTTTGAATACTGAAGTTCCAAAAACTTTTCACTGTAGAAAATTCTAAACCTGTACATTTCAATATTAATTTGAAATTGCAAACAGTTCACATATTTTTCTTAATCACACTATTCTAAATTTCAGTTGTTGAGAAAAGTAACTGTTGTAAGTTTTGTTTTAAAGTCTTTCCCACCAGAGGGCTAAAGCCATGTGT